TAAATGTCCTATGTCAAAAACGCAGGCCCCACAGCCTCCTCTTCTGTTTGGGTTTGGGGTGGTTTGAGGGAAACTATGGGTTTTTGCACATCCCTCAACAAATCTTTATCTTTTACAGCCCCCCAAAACGACGGTCAAACCAGTCGAAAACCCAAGTAATTTGCCATTTTTGCAAACATAGCGGACAGAAAACATCCCCTAGGGATATAATTTGGGGAACGTAATTCAAATTACCCCTTAAACTTTAAACCCTAAACCCCAAAGTTACTGAACCCAGACCACAGGCTCCTTCTCCTTCCTACCTTAACTGCCCTCAACTCTGAAGGCAAAATGTAAGATCCTGAGCTGGACAGATTGGAATGCCAACTTGCCAGTGCTGAAGACGCACTGCCAAGATTCGAAGAACACACGTCATGTGCTTAAATATTTCCAAGAGCGTAGTCCTAAATACTTTGTATACTTGTGGTATAGGGTACTTAAAATCCAAAATCCAAAACCTTGGTGTATAGGGTACTTAAAGGCCTAAACCCTAAATGGTAGTTTCCATTTTCTTTTGCGTTGTCCATATCTAACCCCCCCCCTATGACCCTCTTAGAGACCCCGCTGCTTAGCGTATTTCAAGTCGACCTCAGCATGAGATTGATGATTTTGCAGGCTTGTTGTAGACCCGGTCGTAGTCCTCGAGGAAGAGTTCCTGAATCTAGCCCATATGTGCTATAGTCTAAACTCCTTAGAGGGGGTTAGGTAGGGGATTATGCGGGGGACGACTATAAGGGCTATTAACTTTAAGCTTGTTAGACTGAAGCTATTTGTGGTTGTGTATGTTGTGTACCTCTGGAATATCTCACTGGCCCACGAACTTCCCAACCAGAACAAGTCCACACAAAGACTCACACAACCCACACAAACCACACTGTCAATTCGGTTCATCAACGATTTGGCCAGACACGCTTTGTATCCCCAGATACCATTACTGGACATTGGAAACATCTACTTCCTGCAGGCTGTCCAGCCTCCCACCCTGCCGACCGTAGGGGCCGGGCTTCTCAGAAGTCAGGGAGCTTGTGCAAGGGACACTTAAAAGGGTCATGCAGGGGACTCCGCAGGAACACTGGAAGGCTCATGAGGAAAAATATTGTAGCTTTAAATAATTGCAATGCCAGAATATTCGAAGAGTGTAAGCATTACAGAGGAATGATTGGAATGCAAGTCGCGCCGATAAGGGGGTCTGGAATGCACGCATGAAAGGAATACCTAAAGTGAAATCTCCGGCACGGCCTACATGGGGTTCAGGGTGTAGGGTTTCAAGTTTTGGGGTATATGTTTCATGGCCAGACATTTGGCTCTACAGTAAATCTTTTGTATCGCTGGCACTGATGTAAGGGTTTAGGTTCAGGGCTCAAGTTTGGGTCTCTCGAAGTTCTTGGTCATCAGCCTCCTTATCACACTTTAACCCCTGACGCAACCCCATTACAAAATGGGGGTTTCCCAAAATTAGGGGTACCGTCTATATTGGGGTTCCCTTATTTAGGGAAATTACCAAATAATGTTGGGAAATGCAAGAAATCGCTGTGTTTTAGAGTGGGGAAATGATATGCCAACCCTACTCCCAAACCCTATATAGATAAACCGTAAACCAGAGTCTTGACAGGGCACTGAAAGGGTTTCTCAAAATGGGGTGCTCTAGAGGCATATACAGATTTGTGGGCTTTGGGGTTTGAATTTATAAAAAGTCGCTTGGGGAACCCTGGACTACGTCAGGGTTCCAAGCAAAAAATCTGGGGGCTCTCGATGGAGTCTGAAGCGCGAATCGCCAGACATCTTGGAACCCTGAAAGATCTTGCCGGCAGGGACCTACTCCTTGAACTCCACGTTTTGTGAAATTATGGGAGATCTTGAGGGAGAATTCGCTGCGTGTGTTAAGGTCGTTCATTCCTCGTGGTGATGTCCCATGCAGTATGCACCAAAACGGGCAGTCAGTGAGGCGGAAGCCTTCAAGCCTATGCAATCACTTCCTTTGAGGGGTCCTTGTAGTTGAGACTGCTGCGAGTATAGAGGGGAGGAAAGGTTGCTGGTAGAGTCCAAGTCAAACCCATACTCATGCTGTGCATCACAAGATCATTGTGACATACCGCGCAACCTCGGGCCATAGCAATCAAGAGAAGAGGTACTGGGAGTTATCATAGCCGCTGAGAATATTCCAATCAGGATCGTGAATCTATGTGAGGGAAGGACCAAACCATAACCTGTCAAACCACATACCATAAACCACAAGGACTCCAAACCCTAGACCCTAGGGCCCAGAAACCCGGAATGTGTATATCCGATGTTACTATCTTTCTGTCATGCTATATCTCTTTAATTGCAATGTACCGTAGCACTATAATCCCATAATGCTTGTAAAGGTGACTGATGCAAGTATAGAGGGGCCCCGGAAAGTTTGAGAATATGCTACTTGTTTTTGGTTGATGATCTCACTCTTGCAGAGTCCCTGTCGAATCCATACTCATACTGTACAGCACAAGACCATTACGGCATACCGCACAACCTCGGGTCAGTCCGCCTTCAAGTAACAATCACCGGAAGATATATTAGGAGATATCTCCCTGAACCCTAAGCCCTACACCCCCTGATGACATTCCAACCAGGATTGAACCAACCCTAGCATGTCAAACCCAAACCCAAAACGCTAAGCCGTAAGCACCCCAGACCCCAAGGACGCTCAGGACCCAAAACGCAAAACCTTGAAATTGACGCAACACAATTCTTTCATGCTGTGTCTCTGTAATCTACTGTAGCATGATAAGCCCATGATGCTCTCGCTTTACTAGTTTTCCAGTAAAACCATACTGCAATACTATTCTAGCATTAACAAACTGCAATATCATACCACTATGCTACTACCGTAAAGTTCCTAACTAAACCCTCGAAACTTAAACCTCAGACTACCCTAGGCTTTCAACCCTAAGCCACCCTAAGCCCTAAACCATTGGCCCTAAATCCTAAACCCTAAATCCTAGATCCTTAACCCTGAACTCCTAAATCCTAAATCCTAAACCCTGAATCCTAGATCCTTAACCCTGAACTCCTAAACCCTAAACCCTAAAGCCTAAACCCCAAGCCACCCTAAACACTGAAAATCACGCAAAGGCCATGGCAGGCTTAGCTGCAGAGCAACAGCTGGCTGGAGGCAAAGGCCTCCAAAGCTTTCCTCCAAAGCTAGCCTTTGTTGGGGTTTATAGGGTTTAGGGGTTTGGGGTTTAGGGTTTCGGGTTTAGGGTTTAGGGTTTTGGGGTTGAAGATTATCCTAATTCGGCTTACATCCTTAAGGTGTATTAGAGTTTCCATTGGTCTTAGCCAATGTATCATCTGCTTGTTTGTTAAGATTCCCCCCCCCTCCCCCTCTCCCGGAGGCATGGGGAAGAAAATGGAAATTACGGTTCGGGTTATAATTTGGGGTTCAGGGTTTGGGCAGTGATGCGTTTCTGCATTCTGATGGGTCCTCAAACTGAAACAGGACTGCTAGCGACCCTTCCTCTGTTGCAAGCTCGATCGCCAAAGGAGGTTGCGTGTAACGAGCAGCTAAGAAGAAATGCAGGTCTTGTAGCTGTAAAACTAGAGTTTTATAGCGCTGAAGTGATAACGCAAACATGCTGCAATGAATCATGAAGCTACAAGTGTTGTGCGGCCGGATGGAATTCATCGTCCGACGCCTGCATGCTAGACTGAGCCGTCGCGTGAACGACATCATCAGGGCAACAGATGGGAAGTGTTTTGGGACTTTTTAGGGTTTAGGGTCTATTTATGCAAGTTGCTTTAATGTTAACTCACATCAGCTGTCTCTAGCGAAAGCATGCTTGTTTGCCGGGTCAGCAAAGCGAACACCTTTATCTGGAGATACAAAGGGGACTTTGTTTTGAGATGCGCTTCGAAAGAGCAGAAGCTTTTGGAGACCAACACACCAAACCTTAAGCACTCCACTCTCAGCTTTGGGATACTGAGCCCTCGCAGCCCTAAACCCCTAAACCCCAGCCCCTGTCTGGACCCGAAGTATGTAGACATTTTATGGTCTCTTTGACTGCTTTAAGGGTTTTGGCGGCCATTATCTTACCTACTTTTGGCTGGGTAGGCCCCTCAGATTTTTTAATATTTTCCCTAACGGCTTTAATAAGGGGCCCTATATACTAATATTTTTCAAATGGCTTTAGGGGCCAACCCAGTTGAGGGCTATGTAAACCCTAAGCCCTCAAAGCGTGTGCAAGGCAAGGACAAGCAAGCCGTCGAGGTGGCAAAGAAGGGCGAGGAGCCGAATGTGTTTAGGGGTTTAGGGGTTTATGGGTTTAGGGGTTTAGGGTTTAGGGTTTAGGGGTTTGGGGGTTTAGGGGTTTAGGGTTTAGGGGTTTAGGGGTTTAGGGTTTAGGGTAGGGGTTCTTGGAGAAGCCCGGTTGTCATGGATATCGGGTTTGAAGTTTAGGGAGAAAATCAAATGAAAGATGATGTGGGAGCTACTGTTTAGGGCTTTGTGTTTGGCGTTTAGAGACATTAATTACCCCAGCAATTGGGTTGCTGGTTTCCCCAACATAGTAACTTAAGTTAGATTCCTTAACAGTCTGAACCCCAAATCCTAAACCATATATATATATATCCACCCTAAAACCACAGTATAGTAACTTAAACTAGACTCCTTGACAGCAACACAGGTAATGGAGAATCAGATGGAACGGTACATGGAACATGAACACTTGGGGTTTACTATAGACCCCGTTAGGGTTCAGAGTTTAGGGTTCATAGGGATGTATAAGGTGTAGGGTTAACTTGCTGGTGGATAGTAGGGAATGGCAGAAGGGCAAAGAACATGTGGCTGCTTCGGTGTTTGGGGTCAACCCCTAAACACTAAGCCTTAAACCTCAGACTCCTGAAACTTAAATACTTGAACCCTAAATCCAAAACCTTAAGCCGGGTTCAGGGTAGGCCAGGAAGGAATGAACAAGATGATCGAAACTAGTATACATCAATAGGGATTTTGGATCCTGGAGATGCGTGGGGAGTGGAGGGATGCTTCTTGACGATTACGCGGGAAGGTTTTGAGGAGCTCCCGTTGCTCTGGACATCAACTTTGCTACTCCCAGCATCTTGGCAACAGTCCTTCACGGAGCTGTTCAGCAGGCAGTGAACGAGAACACGACTATCTTCCCCCACGATCTATGTAGCAGGAATGATTCTCATAAACTGAAAAGCCCGAAACCCACTCTAGGGCCTGCGCCCTGAAAGAAAGGTTTCCGGTCATGAACCTGCCTAAAGGCCATGTAATCCAGAAATAGGGGTCGGACATTCTGCTTACAAAATTGGACGGAAATTTGAGAAGATAGCATGCAACAAGTTACAGCATTCAGGTGTTGCTGAGGATCTCGGAGTAGGGCGACCTGCACATTTTTGCACGCCTTGAAGCAGAGTCCTTTATGAGATTCCGGCCTGGTACTGTAGAAGCCTGAGTTTAGGGTTCTAGGGTTTAGGGCCTAAGGGTTTAGGGCTTAGGGTTCACTGTAGGGTTTAGGGTTGTAGGGTTTAGGGTTTGAGGGTTTGGGGATTTGAGGTCATGTCATTCTGAGTCATTCCCTCACATGTTGCGTGGATTGATTTTCAGACATGGTGTATAGTGCCCAAGGAGATTGCTCTAGTTGCTCAGGCCCTTATGTTAGTGATGTGGAGACCGAATTGCAATCTCCAGATCCTTGGAACAAGATAAACCCCTAAACCCCTAAACCCCTAAACCCCTAAACCCTAAACCCCTAAACCCCTAGTGGAGTATCTGTGCTCTTGTGTCTGCCGTGCTCTACATCATTACTTCCGCAAGCTCACCTGGATTTTAGATTTGTGGGACGAAACTGGGGGTTTCCCAAAATTTGGGGTACCATTTTAGGGGCCCCCATATTAAGGATTATAGTATATTGGGGTACATATTGGGGTCCCCTTATTTTGGGAAACTACCAACTGACAAACTTGAGACTTGGATTGAAGCAGCCTACTTTAGGAACCTGCCTGAAAGTGAGGCGTTTGCTGTTGAGGAACTCAGAAATAAGTTGCCAGAAAAAGCAAACCCGATGATTTACGACAATACTCACATTCTCATAACTTACCCTAAGCTCTAAAATGGATATTGGAGAAAAGGTGCGAAGGAGTGTTAAAGATATTTCATCCACATTACGGTGACTTACTTTAAGTTCCTTAGCAGCAATCCACGCAAAACAGGACCAGGTTTCGGCTCAAAAGACCTCGAACGCGCAGGCCCAGGTAGGGTTTTTGTTGCTTCAAGTCACCCCCAACTGTTGTCTCCTTTTGAGGTATTTTTTTTTGGGTTTTTAGACCCTATCACACATAATAGTGTTAATATAGGTCTAAGGGGATTACAGCCAAGTCACCTTCACATTCGGTCCATGGGTAAAAATGACCTGCTTATACATGTACTGATATCTGGACATATCTCCCTATTATTGGACTTTTGGGCATATGAGTGGAATAAATTTGCAGTTCCGAGTAGGGTATACGTACTCCTAGACCTTCGAGTAGTGAGGGGCTTTTGCCAATATGATCAGCCACAATTTGAAGGAACAGCTATTGGAGGGTTTCATTTTTCAGGGTGGTTTTCAGTAGAGTTCACTTAAGTAGTGTGCTGCAGAAGTTGACAGCCCCCCCTTTTGGAGTTTAAGTTTCTTTGCCCACTGAGTTGCATATCAAGCAAGAATGCACTGCCAAACAGATGGCCGGTGTGCTGTCATTTTTGGAAAGACTTGGTGTCGTCTGCAGTTCACGTCCCCTTCTAGCACCGCAATTATTTTGCAAAAAGTGTGCCGCTGGTGTCGTCATCATCATCAGATTCATCATGAAATGTTGTGGTTGCTCTCAATGGGTGTGGCGCGAGGCAATTTGATTACATGAGGAGTATCTGGTAGCGGTACTTGTCCAAGTAAACCCCATATAACCCATAGTCTAAACTCCTTAAAGGGGGTTATATAGGGGATTATATAGGGGATTACTATAGGGGTTGTTAAGGGGGATACTAGGAGTTTAGATTATAGCTCATATAACTCCAGTTCCAATTTCATTCTCCAATTGCTTTTAAACTTGATTCCCGGTTGTTGGTTATAACTTAGGCCCTTTGGATAGCATATGTTAGAGTTTCTCAAGGCTTTGAACGGATGCTACTGTCATTTCTGGGCATATGAAGCTCTACTTTCAACGAATCCCCACATGGGAGCTTCCTTCACTTGGCGGCCCTCTTCTGGGTCCCTATGATTAAGATGATCGTATTCTTGGGTTTAGATCGAGCCCCCATAACTTTTTCAAGCCACCATATAAGGACTACGCACAAGTATTTGCAGCATCTGCAGGTCTGGCAGTATAGTGAGAGCTTGTGGGGGGAAACCTAAAGCCTGAATCCTAAATCCTAGACCCTTGAATCCTAAACCCTAAATTCTAAACCCTAAATCTTGAACCCTCAAATCGTAACCCCGAATCCTAAGCCCGTATCTAAATCCGTGGTTCCAAAAGTAGCCTGAGAAGTGAACCTCCGCAAGCCCCTCCAATCGAGTTGAGTGCAGCCCGGGTACTTGGAGGGTCAGGGGGACTCTGTAAGCAGGTTAATATGGATTATCGGGGTTACTGACCTACCTACTAAGTCCCCTGACCCTCCAAGTATCAGAACCCCCAGAACTCGGGTGCGAAAAGGGTTTAGGTTTTCGCGTTTAGGGTTTGGTATCAGGTATGGGTCCCGATTCCCAAGCCGAAAAATCCAAAACCCTAAGCCCTGAGCCGCCTACACGGTTTAGGGTGTAGGGTGTAGGGTTTAGGGTTTCAGGGTTTAGGGTTCAGGCTTTAGGGTTCAGGGTTTAGGGTGCAGGGTTTAGGGTTTAGGGGTGGTTAAGCCGCTAGGTTTAAGTTACAAATGTGCAGGAACAGGGCGATCTCGCGAAGATGACGAAGGCTCAGGCCGCCTTGACGTGTCACTTGGGTAAGTCTGGGTCTGGTTTAGGGTTTAGGGTGTAGGGGGTTAAGGGTTTAGGGTTAGGGTTTAGGGTTTAGGGTTACGACAGTATGGAGAAGCAAATGAAAAAGAAGATGGACAACGAATGGAAGGTGGGATAATTATACAGGGATCTACCTAGGATAAAGGGTTTACGGCTTTGGGGTCCAGGGGTTCCGGGTTTGAAGTTTCATGGTGTAGCTGCGGTTCCTTCTGGTGTCTGTCAGAGTTGTTGACATTCAAGTCGGGTGCCCTTCCGGAGTCCTCATTTAGGGCTTTAATTGGGGATCCCCTGTTTTGGAAAGTCCAAATGATTCTTGCTTTGGGGCCTAGGAGGGTTCCAAGGAGAGTACAAAGGGTTTGCAACAAGCAAGCTGTAGCCTAAACATGGGTAGAGTCGTGCTGAGCTTCTGGATCTAGAGCCTAACTGGTGCTTAGTAGGGAACACAGGGAATACATAGCTCCTATATACTGTATTCCCTTATTCCCTACTAACCCCAAACCCTGAACCCTAGATATAATACATTCCCTTATTCCCTACCAAACCCCAGTAAGGAATGCTTTGCTCTTTGTCCGCCTTGCACAAGGACTGATACAGGGCAACGCCGCCTGCGGCTGTTCGTCGTGGTCCCTGTAGTGGATATTGTATGGAAAAGAATATATTTCTACTTAGGGTTTAGGGTTTAGGGTCCGTGAAGTCGATATTGATTCCCATGCTGCTCCCTCGACTTATTGCACTGGTTTGCTAGCATGTGGTAGGTTGTTAAAATTGGGGTCTTTTTCTTTGGGTCCCCATGTGGCGGCCATTAAGACCCAGGGTACCCAAAAAGGGGCCACAATTTTCGCAACCCCCCCATGTCCTATATCTTCAGGTTTCAGGTCCTTGTCCTGAACCTTGTGTGATCTGAATCCCAAGCTCTTGAGCCCTACAGATCCAGCCATGGAATTCCCGAATAAACCCTAAACCCTGAACCCTTTCCAAGGCCCTGAACTCCAAACCCTAAACCCTAAACCCTAAACTGGCCAGAGCGCCCCTGACCACATACATGGGCGCTCGAGCCTTGGGGACAGGCCTCCGGACTGGCACCAGAACGAACCTACGGGCCTGGGAGGGTCAAGCATCCCAGCACAAAACCTTACGGGACCCCCTTGCGACGCTGTTTTCTCAGCTGCCCGCCCTGGCGGTCAGGCTCGAGGCGTGGGAAAGGGTAGGTTTTCGTGCGGCCTCCAGAACCAGGCGCCTCCCAAAAGGCCCCAGACCTCCTTACCTCTTCAAGGGCCTCCAGGAACATCTCTCCTCCCAGGTTTGCGGGCTCTCCACACACTCCTTTCCAATCTGCGGTTGGCTTCACTTATCATCTCATCATGATGGTTCTTGGGACTTCTTCATGCGTGTGGCAAGATCCACACGTGGAGGCCGGCCAAGGCCTCCGCTACCCGTATCCGTTGCTCGACACTTTTTTGTTTGAAATTCAACAATGCGCCATCTGAGAATGCTGGCTGCGTGGTGAACAGCAGAACTAGGGAGAAAGGAAATCAGGAAGCCCCCCCTGCCAGGGGGGTTTTGGGGGTAGGAACCCGAAACCCTAATTGAGAAGGTGGTTGGGGTGAGACCTCTGGCTTCGCGAGCGTGCGAAGGGTGGGTGCGCTTTTATATTAGAGTTAGGTGCGCTCCTAACTCTAATATAAAAGCGCACCCACCGCGCGCTCACACTGATGCACACCCTAAACCCTAAACTCTTCTTGCTTCCACAGGCGAAGAAGGCCCTTCGCAAGGAGCTGGCGAGGAGATTGGCCAAGGGCGTGCAGGCCGGTGTAGGTCAAGAATTGTTTTTGGCTTTAGGGTTTAGGGTTTAGGGTTTAAGGGTTAGGGTTTAAGGGCAAGGTTTTCGGGTTTAGCTTTGGCGCTCAAGGTCTGGGCTCAGGGTTTAGGGTGCATACGTTGTGTTGAAGCTTTCCTTCACAATCTAAATAGTGAATCCGCGATCCAATACCCACATTATCCATGAGCCCGTGTTTCAGACATCCTTGTAGGTCCGGATGGTCATTCAGAGTTTATTGTGTAGGAAGGTTTAGCGTTGAGGGTTTTGCGCTTACGATATTGGGTTCAGGGTGGACAGCTTTTGGATACATGTTCCATGGCTTTGGGGTGCATATTGCCCTTTCGGAAATCGGGTGCAACAGGAGTCTGTTCCAAGGATTTCAGTATATGCCATAAGGCGCAATGTCTCAGCTGGTTAACCCTAAACCCTAAGCAGCCATCAAGCATGTGCATTAGCTTCGGCAGGCTGTGAGGGCTTTTGCTACGTTTGAAGTTGGCCCAGCTTAACCGTTTTACCAACACAGTATAGGGTTTAGGGTGTAGGTCTCTGACAAAAGGCCTGTGACTCAACAGTTGCACACCGAACCTTAATATTATCCAAATCTTCAGTCGGCTGCCTTACCCCCCCCTTTCTGGTTCTCCGTAGGGAATAAACGAAAAGAATCCACGTATAAACCCTGCATATAATAGATTCCCATTTTCCCTACTAAGCCCGAGTTCGCCATTCTGATAGACTTCCCCATGCCCTCTTCCCTTGAAGTTTGTACCGCGTGTGAGTTTTTCAACATGATCCCTACATGATCTCTAGGGGTGACGCACCTATATTCCGTTCATCATCCCTGTGCATCCCTAGGGTCCCTAGGGGTCCCCCTACTCCCAAACCCTAAACCCTGAACCCCAAACCCTAAACCCTAAACCTCAAACCCTAAACCCTCGACCCTAAACCCTAAGTCCTAAACCTTGAACCGTACCACCAGGCCTTTGACAGGGTGGAGAAAGTGGAGAAGAACGAGGCCAAGTCTGCAAGATGAAATTGTGTTGAGCTTTTTCTCTAGGCTTTAGGGTTTAGGATGGTTTAGGATTTAGGGTTTAGGATGGTTTAGGATTTAGGGTTTAGGATCTAGGGTTTCGGATTTAGGGTTTAGGGCTAAACCTTAGAACCCTGAACTATTAGACCTCAACTAATGGTTCAGGCCCCTACATTACTAGCGTCGGGCTCTTCCACGCTACTTTGGTAGTACTACGCGCATGCCGCTCCCGAATGACTTGGTTGACGGGGCCTTCACTGCCGGCACTCTGGGCACTTTGGCTTAGACGGCGAGCTTGGCATTTGTGCCGAATGTGAACGCTGAGCTTCACTTATTGCCTGGCATGAGTGTGGACAAGACCTCTTTGCTATCCGGTGATCAAGAGCCAAGCCTTCATAGGTAGAGGATACCCTGGATCGGCTGTTGTGGATCCTGGCGACCAATGTGACCCGACGGTGGGTCAGGAGGCAACTCTCGATGAGAGGTTGCGCATACAGGAAGCTTGGTTCCCGACGGTCGCCAATAGGCTTACTCCGCTGGAGATGGCGATCATGCTTTGGTGTTACCACCAGAATTACGCTTTCGACGACGCAGTGAGGGTGTCCGTCGTTCTCGTATGGGGTGACGCTCATTGCCAAGGCATTGCCATCGCTGGCGGGCTCAATGAGTACACGGCTCGATACACCACAATGAGAGCCACTTATGATGAGGCATTGTTACGGAACCAAGAACCGTTCTGGGGTTCTTTGACGGGCAAACGGCCCGGTACACTGGACGCCCTAGTCGAGCTCCTAGTGGACAGAGAAAACGAAGCTGCCGTTCTCGGCATTCACACGTTTAGCTGTTATGTTTCTTGCTCAGAGAGTGATTTTTCCCAGGGTTGGCTCCAAGGCGAGCAGCAACTCTGCAGCACTCACAATTTTCACCTGTAGTAGTGTTTATGTGCCTTCCTGAAGCCCTGGGCTCTTCCAGTAGCCATTCCAACAGCTGCCCATGAGGTTCTGCTTACTTTTGCCCTTCGAGTTGTCATTCCACTGCAGTAACTGTAGTTCAATCCAGCGGTAGCCATATTTTGGGAATGCGAAATCATTAGAACCGGGCCATAATGATTCTTACTGTAGCCAGGTTATCATTGATTATAGCTGTATTTGTCGTGAAGGGAATCTCACCGTCAAAAACCGGAACACCCAAACCCTTTCCAGCCGACAGTTGGTGCCTTATCTGTTCTTGCAAGTTGTCCTCTCGTCAGGGGGGCCCCATCAAGTTAAACCCCAATTCCTAAACCCTAGCCCTAAACCCTAAACCCCTAAAGCTTAAACTTAATCCAGAGCCTTGAGACCTAAGACCATCTATCCTAATGTCCCAGCCCTACACTACACTCCATACACGGATAACTAGCCTTAAGCTCAGCCGTACACCCCATGCAGACCTCAAACCCCAAACTCTAACCCTCGAATCAGAACCCGCAAGCCCTAAGCCCCTATATCGACCCCTGTATATCCCCAGTTTGCATTTCATCTTCAATTTTTTGTGATTGTCCATTCCTGGGGTAATGACGGCTCCAACCCTAAACCAGAATCCCTAAACTCTAGACCCTAAACCCGAATCCCTAAACCCTTAATCC